TTTCAAATCCTTTCGGACACTTTTTAAAATTTGATAGACAAAAAAAAAATAAATTGGTTTTTGTTTCTTTGTTATTTTTACGAAGTGTCACATCTTCTTATGATAATAATTTTACTTTCACGTTTTCACCCCCCTTTATTTTGACGCAAATTTCAAAACCTGGTTTGTAAACCTTCGATTGCTTCGATTTAAACCTTTTTTTATAAACGAATTATTTAATAATAATAATAATAATTAATAAAATTTTTTGATAATTTTTAAAATTTTTATTTTACGCGCGTAATTTCGAATCAGGTACGCGACAAACAAATTAAACCGTTGTCAACCAAAAAAAAAAAAAAAAAACAATCAAACAAAATTTTCTTTTCTTTTTTTTTCTAAGGAAAAACCACACGTTTCTAAATGTTTTGTTTTTATCTTCCTTTTATTTTTTACCTTTTTTCCTTTGTTTACAAGTTAAAAAAAGCAAAATTTTTCTTTCTGTAATTTACAATTTTTTTTTTGTTTTCTTCGTGGTAAAAACTGTTTTAAATAAGTTTGATTTAACCGCGAAAGCATTTAATTTAATTACGTTTATATTGTTATTTATAACTTTGTTTGTTTGTTTGTTTGTTGTTGTTGTTTTTTTTTTTTTTAACAATAAAACGTTTTTAATAACATTTTCAACATATTTTATAAATTATGTTTTTTCCTGTTACTTTTTTTTTTTTTTCATTTCGAAACAAAAAAAAAAAAAATTAAACAAAGGTCGTCGTTTTTGTCGTGTCGTAAATTTAAATATAATACAAAGTAGTAATAATAATAATAATAATGATAATGATAATAATGATATGTTTTAATGTTCATTCGTCCGTTTTTTTTTTTTTTGTAAATAAAATTATTTAACGAGGAAATTCATTTGTTTTTTTTTTGTTTTGTTTCTCTGACTTCGTGACTCCGCCATTTTTTTTTTTTTTAACATTAAAAAATAACATTTTATTAAGTAATAAATTAATTTTTGTTTTGTTTCTACGAACGAATAACCATTGATGACGTTAATTTTTTTTTGTCTACATTTAGACGTTTATTTACTCTATGCTTCGATTTAATTCGTTTTTAAAATTCGTCGGACTTTAAAAAAAAAAAAATTCGATGGAACGGTCGTGAATAACAATAAATGGGAACGACGAGACGACAACAACAACAACAAAAAACCCAAACAGACGAAATATTTTACACGAAGGGAAGAAACGGGGAGAAGAGCAACGGTCGAGAGGGGGAAGGGGATTAAGAGAAAAATAACTAAAAAATAAAAAAGGATAACAAAAGAAAAAGAAAAGTAAAACATTTCGGTGCACAAGTCAATCGTCATTCATTTTGATAAAATGTCTTTTTCTAACAAAAAAATTTTTCTTTTTTTTTTTTTCTCCACAAAGTTTTCCCTTATAAATAAATTCCTTTTTCTTTTCTCTTTTTTTTTTCTTTTTCATCTTCTTATTTGTTTTTATTTTTTTTCTTCTTATCTTAAAAAACAAGAACTTGATGGAAAAACAAAAATTAAAAAAAAAAAAAAAAAAAAGAAAAGAAAAAAAATTTTTTTTTTTTTTTAATTGAAAAAAATGGAAAAAGCAATTAATTTTTTCTAAAGGAAAAAAAAAAAAAATTAACTGGTTAAAAAGGCTGTTTTTTTTTTCCTTTTTTTCCTTTTCCTTTCCCTTTTTTTTTTTTTTAATAAGTTTATGAAATATAATAATAATAATAATAATAATAATGATTTAAGTAAATTTGTTTTTAAAATAATAATATTAATAATAATAATAATAATAATAATAATAATAATAAAAGGAACCGCTTAATTTTTTGTTTTTTTTTAAATAAATTTAAATCAAAATGTGAAATAAATCAATGGAAAATAATAATAATAATAATAAATTTGATCCTTTTATTAAAAAAAAAAAACTTTTTTCCTTCCAACCTTTTCAATAAAAAACCTTTTCTCGATTAAATAAGGAAAAATTTAATATTTATCGACAGATTTTTTTTTAATTTTCATCATATGAATTTTTTTTCTTTTTTTAATGATTCGATATTATTGACACTTTTCATCGTATACGCGTATTCGTCAATAACGAAATAATAATAATAATAATAATAATAATAATAATAATAATAATAATAATAATAATGATGATGATGATGATGATGATGATGATGATGATGATGATGATGATGATGATGATGACAATTATAAATTTAAATAATAACTCATATCGATTTTATTTATTTTGCGAAAAATATTAATTTCGTAAGAGAAGAGAAAAGAAATTTCATTATTATTATTATTTTTTTTTTTAACAACGTAAAAACCCAGAAAGAAAAAAAGAAAAAAAAAAAAAAAAGTTTTTTTAATTTTATTTGTGACGAAAAGAAAAGGGAAGAATTACGGCGGTAGTGGTGGTGTTGGTGCAGGCGGCAAAAAAAGAATTATTATTATTATTTGTTTGTTCGTTTGTTTCGTTTTTAAAGTTTCCCTCGTTTTTATTGAATTAATTTTATTTATTTATTTATATACATTTATTTTTCTTTTTTTTTTTTTTTCAAGAAAGTTAAATAGCAAATAAAATTATATTATTATTATTACTATTAAAAATTTTTTAATTTGTGGGGAAAAAAAAAAACAAAAAGTAACGAAACCCTAAAGAAAGTACAAATTTTTTAATATACGACAGAATTAAATATCGTCGATAAAAATTTTCCGGCTATCTTTCTCTCTCTCTCTCTCTCTCTCTCTCTCTTTTCTCCTTCTAAAAAAAAATTTTTTATTTTTATTTTTACACAATTGCTTTTCGATGAGGTCGACAATTTATGTTTTTCTTGTTACAATAGCGTGACACAGTCTACACCACGACTCTTTTAAAAAAGAAAAAAAGTCTATTGAAAATATACTTCTTGTCAAAAAAAAAAAAATAATAAATGCTGATAAACCTAGGATACGGTCGAAAC